ATAATCCTTCTACCTTTGGAAATCAACCCTCATAATCCGTCCTGATAAGCATTATTCACTACAGTATCACGAGTTACCCATCTGTATCTCCTTTCATCAGCTCCGCCCAGACAGATTGAATAGTACCTACTGGAGATTCTGCCTTCCTCCATGCTAGCCTAGCACTAGGTTCCCTCTTGAAAGCTTGTAAGCCAGTCACTTCTTGCCTTTGTAGTCACCCCTCCCCATTTGAGTATCCAATGTCCAAGCTGCCCTTCTCTGTCCACTCTGTGTGTGGGGGGATGTGTGAATGTTTCTTGCTGTGAGGATTGGTTCCCTCTTTTGAGATGCTGCTCCATAGGTATAGTTCAAGTTCATCAGACTGTATCAACTCACTTTTTTTCCCCCCCTCTTCTTTCTTCTCCTGGTTGAGCTCCGATCATCCAGTCATCTGGTCCAGGTCACATGGGTATCATCTTCAAGTGTGGGCGCTCCTGTGCATATGTCCTCTCTTCCCATCACCCGGTAGCTCCACTCTCCTCTCGAGTCCTCCGTGGCCACACCACTGTCTCTAGGCCCAAGAGTCCCCAAGCCTCTTCACACTGCTTGCCAACCATGTCCCCAACTGGGTCCACAGAAGTCCACTGAACATTGTATGGCTTAGCTTGTCGTTTCATTGCTGCTTTTACCACACTTCCCCCCATCGGTGACGTGTGTGGTCACCAATCAGAGCGTGTATTTCCGTTGAGTCTTAGTCTTGGAAGGGGTTTGCGTTGAGAGGACCTGGCCACTTGCCTTGATGTTTTCTAGGGAAGCGATTTGTTTGTTCTTGTAGTAACAGCCCATCTGCCTCCATTTTTCCTGGAGTCAGAACCAATTTGACTGAAATTAGCTACACTTGCACACATTTTTTTCTTTTTCAACCACTTAACTTTTATATACAAGCATTTATTGGACTTAATTCTTCTGCTGGAAAAAGGGTTAAATAGTTAATTATACTGCTACTTGTTCTGCCTATCTCACAAGGTTACTATAAAATATCAAATTAAGATACTGTGGAGAAAGTGGGCAACTGGAAAGTAGTATTAAGGAGCTCTGGTTGCACAGTGGTTACTAATCGGGCTGCTAACCTCAAGGTCGTCAGTTCGAAACTACCAGCCGTTCTGCCAGAGAAAGATGAGGTTTTCTGCTTCCATAAAGATTTACGGCCTTGGAAACCCTGCACAGGGTCATTATGAGTCGGAACCGACTCCACAGTACTTAACAACAACAACAACAACAAAGTAGTATTATACAACTATACAATAAACTATACTTTAAAAAAATTAGACATAAGAATGGTTTTTCATGTGACTGACTTAAAACCCTGAAAATATGGGCACCCAAAGTCAATATCTGTCAAAAAAATAGAGAACAACTGCCTGTTCAAATACCACCTTTTAAACACCCACCAAACCTGCTTTCAACTGACTCTTGAATTACTGTATGGCTCAATTTAATATTATCTAGAGTGTACTTTCATTTTTCAAAAGAAAATCAACAAAGAAGAGTTTAAAGAAAGTCACTGGAGAACCATGGCAAGACATTTATTTCCCAGAGATAAAAGATCAATACCTAGAAAACGGCTTTCTCATGGTTTCACAAGTCAGATTTCTCATCCTCTGAAAATCAGTTATATTTCTTTTAATAGCTGAATCACACATGTATTTACTGCATATTTATTAAAAGGACCTGCATTGGAGTGAGGATGAAGAATTTTATGAATATCAAAACCTTACGCCAGTGTGGTACAATCATTTCATACTTTTCATACTTTTGCCTGCCGCAAAAGTTAACAGATTTTATTTTTCCCTACAACTTGAGCTCTCTGCTATCCTACCATGTTTGAATGATATTTGATACTTATAGTTACAAATTTCCACATGGCAATAAGTATGAAGGCCATTTGGAAGCCATACAATGTCCTCTTCAAAAGCAGTTTCCTAATTAATTTCTACCCTGAATCCAGGTTTATCATAAGTCTTAAAATTCTAAAAAGTTACTGTACCAGCAACAGGTACCTTAACCAAAAATTAACAAGGTTTGTAATACCACAAATATTCTACCATCGTTTCCCATTTTCAAAAACTCTTCTTTCGTTACAGTCCTAAATAGGAAGAGTGTTCTGGTCAATTCCACGGTCGTACTTCAAGGATTTCGGCCCTGCTTCAGTTCAGTCTGGAGTAATCATAACCTCTTAGGTTTCACATTTCTCCTTCGGTAACACTAAGGTCGCTCTGCGCGGTTAAGTGCAATTTTAGTTTCCAAGAAACCTGAAAAACGTCCTCGCTCCTGCAGCCTTCTCTACACTCAGAAGACTGGCCCAAACTGCTACTCCCTCCACAAAACCACCCACGCTGGACTTGAGCACCAGGGGGAGACTGGTAGTGGGGAGGAGGGGAGGACTTCTCTGGTCTGAAGAAGGCAACTGAGGTCCAATCCAGCCCGCGCCCAACTCTAGTCGCCGCAAGGAAGATTTGTGGACCAAAATCCTCAGGCTCCCGTGCTAGATCTGGAGGGGCAGAGCCGCGCGTGGCTGCCAGGTGAGACGTAAACAAACCTTCCGGCGGAGGGGGAAGGGGCGATAGGACGGGGGAAACGGGGGGAGACACCTCGCTCTAACCCTTGAGCTCAAGTCCGCAGCCAACCCTTTACGATTGTGGACCAGATCCTGGCCCCGGTGCGGCTCTGGCGCTTGGGCCTGGTTGCCTAAGGCCGCAGTACCCCCTGGAATCCGGAGCCCATAGGGCCACCGACCCCGCGCCCCTCGCCTGCCCAGTCCGCCGCAACACCCTACCTGAACGCGCAATCCGGGTCGCGGGAGTCCCGGCCAGGGGCGCCCAGGCCATTCCTCTTGTTGAAGAGCTTCTGGAAGAGCGTAGGGGCCATGCTGGCCAACGCCAAGCCGGGGTCGCTCCGCAGGGCGTTAGCTAGGCCCCCGTTCCTAGAGCCGCCCCGCCACCCCCATGGGAGCCTCAGTCATATGACAGAAATTAGTCACTTCAAACAGCCACGGCGCGCGGGGCGGGGCGCGAGGCAAGACCAGAGCTCATTGGTTGGCGGTGAGCCTCATCACGTGGCGATGCGCAGAGCAGGGGGTAAGGTGGGGGCGTGGGGCGGAGCTGACGCCCATAGGCTGGCGAGTGGGTCACGTCACGTGGCAGCGCATGGGGCGGGGCGTGAGTGGAGGGCAAGGGTGGGGAACTTGTTGGTGGCTGTAGAAGGGAAGGAGGAACGTGCTCAGGTTCTGCTCCTTGCCTGTGAGGCTATCATCGGCTGAGGCTACGGCGGAGGTGACGCGAGGACTCCGCCTAGGACTTGGAGTTGAGGAAGCTCCCCGCACTCACAACAAAGAGTTGCTTAGAGGTCTATGAGCAATTAACCTTCCCCCACAGACCCCCTTCCAAGGAGCTCTGGTAGCGTAGTGGTTCTGAATCGGGCTGTCAGCGGTTCGAAACTACCAGCTGCTCCGCGGGAGACAGATGAGGCTTTTAGCCTCCGAAATCCTATTCTGGGTCGCTAGGGTCGGAACCGACTCAACGGCACTTAACAACAACAACCGACCCCTTCCAGGCTTCTGAAGCTTCGTATCTCCCACCGGCAGTCTAGCGGCCACTCCGACCAACAAAGAAGGCACTCGAGCGTACCTACCTGTCTGCAGCCAGGCTTGCAGTTTGAGACCACTACCAGAAGAGCAAAGAAATCTGGGTTGTTAGTTAGAAGTTGTAAGAATGTTCCTTAGAAGCCAGGATAATGAGACTTCATCTCTCGTATTTTGGACGTGTTATCAGGAGGGATCATTCCCTGGAGAAATGTCCGAGTGAAAAAGAGGAAGACCCCGAACAAGATGGATTGGCACAGTAGCTGCAGCAATGGGCTCAAGCATAACAATTGTGAGGATGATATAGGCCTGGGCAGTATTTCATTCTGTTTTACATAGGGTCGCTCACTAGGAGTCTGAACCCATTTGATGGCATGTAAAGGCAATAGAGAAGGCATAGGGAGGGAGTCCTGTTGCAGGATAAACACAGAACTGCAAACCTCTAGATAGGTAGTTCAAACCAACCAGTCACTCCTCAGAAACCCTTATAACAGGGTCGCTATGAGTTGGAACCCATTCAAGGGCACACAACAGAGAAGGAATATATGTATAAGTATCTAATATTGCACTATTTAAAAATATAATTTAAAAAATCATCTTAATGTCTAGTTTTGGAGGGGGGAGAGCAGGAAGGGAGGAAGAACCATGGAAATGTAACCAAATGGGTTTGAAGTAAAAATTACCAGGTTTTGAATCAAACTAGTCTTAACAAAGCTTCACCATCACCATGCATTTACTTATCCACCCACCCCTTGTTAGGATGATTTTGTACCATGGAATTCAATTCTCAGAAACGTGGATGTTATCAGGAAATGATGGCATGGGGTTGGAAGGATGGATTAAAATATGTGAGAATGATATTAAACTAGGTATAGGAACAATATTTCATTTAAAATGGTTCCCAATCCCCATTGAGTTTCTGCTGGAGTTTAAACTACAAATAAGGGTTCTAAATAGCGACCCTGTATAGGGTTTCCAAGGAGTTCTGGTAGCATAGTGGTTATGAATTGGGCTGCGAACCGCAAGGTCAGCAGTTCGAAACTACCAGCAGTTCCGCAGGAGAAAGATGAGGCTTTCTATTCCCATAAGATTTACAGCCTCAGAAACCCTGTACAGGGTCGCTGTGAGTCAGAACCGACTCCACAACACATAACCACCTCCATAGGGTTTCCAAGGAGCAACGGGTGGATTTAAACTGCCAACCTTTCAGTTATCCTACAGCGCTATACCAGGAGATAAATAGGTAGACATATCCCTCTGCTTGTGTTGTTAAGTGTTGTCAAGTCCATTCTGACCCATAGCGAACCTAGGAGCAGCTGAACCGCCAACCTTGTAGTTCAAATCGACTTTTCAGTCCTGCGCATTATTAACCCTTAACGTCAAGCCAAGAATCCATCATATCCCTTTACAAGATTATTAAAATTATATATATTTTATATTCATCCAACATTTGGTGTCCATACAGAAATGGTAATTGAAGTCATGAGAGTAGATGAAATCCTTTTTGGAACACGTTTAGCATGATACACAGTCCTAGAGCAGAACCTAAGGAAACAAAATGTAAAGACTCAACATTTATATGTTGGAATAAGAAAGGCGATGGGGTGAAGTAGTGAGGACAATCTCTTCTGCAGAGGTGATAACTTGAGGTGTTTAAGATTAAAATCCTTTCAGTTTCTCTGTATATTGCCCAAACTTGAGAAGTTAATGAGCAAAACAAAGCTCAACATAACAGAACTTATATTGCTTATGAACTTGAGATAATCCTCTGTGGACTCTGGGGCCAAATACTAAATGATTTTTATTAGAGAATAGTGAGCTACCAATATTTTTCTCACAAAATGCTTGTACATGGAATGAAATTAGTTTTTTTTTTTTTAAGTCAATACAATTTTTAATAAGTCAAAAACTGGGTATACTGTAAATTAATTAATGAATCAGCTATTTGTTAGTTTTTCATTTGTTGTACACTATCAATTTCCACTAAACTACTGTAATTGCTATGAGTCAGAACCAACGTGACAGCACTTAACAACAGTGCAAATAGAACAGGCTGAAGCCTGTTTTTACAGGACCAAAGACACTGAAGACTCAGCTGGCACAGAAAAGAGTAGTTTCAGGTCCCCTAGGAAGGAAATTTCCAAATACAATAACCTTGCATGCTTTCATCTTGGGAAAAATTACTTCATAGATAATTATAGATATTAATAGTAAGAGAAAGAACATTACTGCTTACATAAGAGATGTGTTATTTTAGTATTATCTGGTGTGGCGCTGTGGGTTAATGCGCCAGACTGCAAAGCTGTTTGAACTGCAAGGTTGGCAGTTCAAGCTCACCAGCTGCTCCTCGGAAACCCTAAACAGGGTCGCTATGGGTTGGAATCGACTCGATGGCAATTAACAACAACAATCATGTGATAGTTTCATTTCTGTACTCATTTAGTTTTATACTTGAAAACTACAGAGAAAACTAAACATACTTGCTATCATACATCACATTTCCCATTTCAGGATAGTACTCAAATCACAAAAACATAGAGCACTGAAATAATACAAGTTTGTAACAAAGGAAGACACAACTGTATTCAATTATACAGATTAAATTTAAAATATTTTAAAGTTCAATATTGGTGTATTTTATCTTTTTAAATTTTTACATCGAGAAAAAGAGGAAGACCCCCAACGAGATGGATTGGCCAGGTGGCATCGTTGATAAAATCAAGTGTGGCAGCAGTAGTGAGGTTGGCCCAGGATCGGACATTGTTTTGTTCTGCTATGCATGGGGTCACTATGAGTCGGTTCCGACTTGATGGCACCTGACAACAACAACAACCTCTTTTCACAAGGAGACCTGGTAGCATAGTGTGTTAGATGTTGGGCTGCTAAAACCTTGAAAATCAGCAGTTCTAATTCATCAGTGGTTCTGAGAAAAATGAGGCTTTTTGCTCCTATAAAGATTTACAGCCTTGGAAGCCCTATACAAGGTTGCTATGAATTGGAACTGACCCTACAGCACACTACCACCACCACCACCTCTTCCCACAAGGTGTCTTTTAGGCAACCTCTCTAAGAAGAGGGAGTCAGCAAGGAGGAAATGTGAGAGAGAAAATTATTATCTACTCATTATTAGGAGTTCTGGTGTGGTGGGGTGGGTTAATGCTGCATTGGACTGTGAGACCAATTTGAACCTCAAGGTCAGAAGAATTGGTGCATTTGAATTATTGTGTTGGAGGAGATTATTAAAAGTACCATGGACTGCCAAGCGAACAAACAGATCTGTTCTGGAAGAAGTATAGCCAGAGTCTCTGCTCCCTGGAAGCCATGATGGCCAGACTTTGTCTCTCACATTTTGGACTTATTATTCAGAGAGACCAGTGCCTGGAGAATGATACCATGTTTTGTAAAGTGGAAGGTCGGAGAAAAAGAGGAAAACCTCCAGGATGGATTGGCACAGTGACAGTAGCAATGGGCTCGGGTGTAGCAACGATTGTGAAATTAGTGCAGGACTGGGCAGTGTTTCGTTCTGTGCGTAGGATCGCTATGAGTTGGTCCTGACTCAATGGCATCTAACCACAACAACAAAAAAAACATGAAACAAAAATGTTGTCATTTTAACAATTTTTAAGTGTATAATTCAGTGACATTAATTATTATCACCATATTGTGCTACCATCACCACTGTTTCTTAAAGTTTTTCATTGCCACAAACATTAATTCTGAACCCTAGCAATAACACCTTTTCCTGCTCTCCTCCCTTTCTTCTAAGGCCCTGAATGCCACTAATAAGCTTTATAGTCTTTGTACACTTGCCTATCCTAGATATCTCATAGAAATGAGATCGCATAATATATATCCTTTTGTTTCTGACATTTCATTCAGTAGAATGTATTCAAGATTCACCCACAGAACTTTATCAGAACTTCATTTCTCTTTATGGCTGCATAATAGTCCACATTTTCTTTATCCATTTATCCATTGATACCTTTTGGCTATTGTGAAAAGCACTCCTTTTAAGAAACATGAATGGGTAAAGAATGATTGGGTATCTGGAAGAACATATGGAGCCAAGGGAGATTAAACATTTTTAAATGAATATCAGAAACCAACAATAGAGCAGGAGAGGTTCAAGATAACTTTTATCTGGGAACTCTGGGCATCGCATCCTTTGTTGTTGTTGTTAAGTGCCGTCAAGTCGGTTCCGACCCATAGCGATGTATGCTATATACACAATATGAGATAAAGAAGCTATTCATTACTTACACCTTAAAGAAAACATAAAACACTGAGT